TGGGGTGATACAGGGTTTTAAAGCTGGTTTATTCGAAAAAGTTGATGCATTAAAATTCTATTTTTTACAAACTATTCTACAATTCACATGAAATCAGATTCGAAAATTCATACGGAAGTAACATATTAGATGCGATGCTTTTTCACTTGCACAATGTAGCTATGGGTTTAAAGTAGACCGTACTGGAAACAGAGGGTGCCGGAAGTATTGAGATTGTTTTTCCCTTTGGTAATTATATTAACTGCATTAATGAAATTTGAGAATTTGTTTGAAGACTTGTTTATGTGCAAGTATCCCAACAAATATGTAGCCTACAAGACAAGCAGTACACTTATTTCAGTAATTGTCATCACGGTCTGCCCGCAGTAAGTCGCTGCTGTATCGTGAAATCCATATGGTGATACCATTTAGCGGTCGGCCCAGCTCCAATGCGGATCCGACATTCGGTGGCGAACGCCACGTGACCTTTGGTGCGCAACTGTAGTGCAGTGGCGGTGGCATCCTGATATTCTTGTGTTTGCTGCTTAGCTGGCTCCCCTTTTATGGAGAGTGGGTGTCCATGTGGTACGTAGCTTTTTAAATTATATTCCCCCTTGTTAAATATCTGCTTGTCCTCAGCCGAAGTGAAACCACAAAGAACATACTTTCTGGAAACCCAGTGGCACTTGCGAAATATCATTCCTTTGGCTATATTTTCCGGCAGTTTCATTCCTTCAACTATCATTTTCACAATTAGCTCCTTAAGTGAAACAACGTCAAATTTCTTCGGATCTTCTTGATTTGCTAATTTGCATTTGGCATACTCAAAGCCGTAAATTCGTAGGTTTAGAGAGCGCTGCACAGTTTCATTAGTTTCCACGATTTGAGTAAGCTCGCTAACTTTTCCATCATTCTTCCCAACCCTGTTGTTTATTTCTTTTAGCTCATCCTTCATCTGACCAATCTCCTAAATGTTACATCCTGACGTGGTTTCAGTTTAAGCATTATAAATAGTAGAGAAAATGCGGCCTAGAAACCGCAACATGTTGTAGCACGCTCTGGAAAGCGTGCTTTATGTTAGCGGCTCGGTGTTTCAGCCTCCTAGCTTTCCTGGTTGCTGAGATGAAAGTGGGTGACAAAATGCACTCGCTTAAAAAGACTGGTTGAAGGGTGCCGAATCTTTAGCAGAGAGTAGCCTGAAGAGTTAAGGGAGAAGGCGACTGCCTGAAGAATATGTAGGCACCTTCGCCTTGAAAGACTCTGAGTTAACTCAAACGGACCAGTTTGAGCACAAAATAGAGACCGGCGAGGCAAAATCCATTAAGCAGGCACAACGGCCTGTTCCACTGACTTTAAGGGAACAGATTATGAATATGTTTAAGGACTACTTAGACCGAGTAGTAGCCCGTGGTCCAGTCCTGTGGCCTTGGTAAAGAAGAACGAAACTCTTCGGTTATGTGTGGACTTCAGGCTGGTGAATCAGGTAGTGAAACAAGATGCTTATCCCCTTCCGCACGTTGAGACTCTCGTGCAGGACTTGCAGCGCAAGATATGTTTTAGCAAATTAGAAAATCAGCGCAAGAAATGTTTTAGCAAACCGAAAACGGCATTCGCAACGTTGAACGGGCCATATAAGTTAAGCGGGCTACCGTTCGGTTTTACAACGCCTCCCGCGTGGCTTGAGCCTATGATGGAGACAATGCTGGGTGGAATGAAAGGAAAGGATGTTTTTGTGTATATCAATGACATCCTCATGGCTACACCTACAATAAAGAAACACTTAGAAAAGCTAAGATAGGTGTTGATCAGACTGAGGAAATACGAGTTAAAGCTAAAAACAGCGAAATGCGAGCTGTTTCAAGCCGAAGTACTATTTCTGGGACATCGTACAGGCGTGCATGGTGTGGCTACCGATGCGGAGAAGATAGCAAAGATTCAGAAATTTCAGCGGCATCGGAATGAGGAAGAGGTGAAGTCTCTTCTCGGAATGTGTTCCTACTACAGAAATTTTTTGCTAATTTTGAAAAATTAGCCCGGCCACTTTACGACGTGCTC